CATCGATGGACTCAAGTGTGGCAGCACTAATGAGATTGGCCCAGATTCGGACAGTGTTTCGTTTTGCTGTGCATAAGGTCACTATGAGTCGGTACTGACTTGATGGCACCTAACAACAACATGGTCATGGTGTGGTGCTATAGGAAACACATTAGACTGCTAACTGCAAGGTAGGCAGTTTTAACTCAGCAGCAGCTCCTCAGAACCCCTACATACGGACACACTCAGTGGCACTTAACAACAACATGATCAAGGCGCAGACCATTTTAATTGCATTTTTCCTCAAGTGTTTTGAAGCCCTTTTGTCTTCTGCAAGTATTAATCTGGAGTTAGATAAAATTTCTTTAATTTTCTAAAGTGCTTTGTACCAATTTAAATTGGGTCCTGGACTAAGTTCTAAATTTGCATCTTGGCACCACTGGTTTTCTGTGAGTCTTTGGGCAAGTTTCTTTGCCCATCCCAGCATTCTTATCAGTAAAATGGTATGATACCTACCTCTAGAATTATTGTGAGATTTAAATGAGATAATGAAATACATATCAAGCAACTAGCACGTGGCCATAATGAGTGATAAACGTCTTATACTTTGAAGGGCTAGAATACGTATTTCCTAAGTCCTGAAGTCCCCTAAGTCATGCCATAAGGTATTGTGATCGATCGCTGTGGTGTTTTAAAGTAAATAACTGAACACACCCAGCCTTTCTTGTGCTTTGTCACCTGCAGTAGGTGCTGTGGTGTAAAGGCTTGTGTATTCATTCAACAAATGTTTGTTGGTCTGTGATGTATTTGCCCTCCCTCACATAATTCCACTGTATTTTACTGCAATATTTCATGTTTTGTAAGGAAGAAGCTCCGAAGTATTAAAAAGCATAAAAGAGCTAACAGACAGACAAGGAGTGTAACTGAGTAATTGTCTCGCTCACTGGACTGTGTGAACTTCACAGGCTAAGGACCACGTCCTTCTGTTTGTCCTCCAACAAGAATACCTACATCTCACAGAATTGTTGTTATGAAGTGCCTTCGAGTCAGTTCCCACTCATAGCGACACTGTATAGGGTTTCCAAGGAGTAGTTGATGGGTTTGAACTGCCCATCTTGCAGCTGACTCTGACCCTATAGTCAGAGTGTAGTGCTTTGTCCTGCTTAAGTGTTTGAGGTATGTGAATAAGTGAAGGGGTCACCACGGGGAAGAAGTACATGTACCCCTGATTTATTCTGGAGAGACTAGGATTTTGCAGAGAGTTTATTCAGTGCCAGCAGCTCAGCCTAAAAGTGGAAATGTTTGCTTAGAAGACAAAAATCTAATCCATCAGAAGCTTCCATCCTTAGCAACCTAAGGGTTCATCCCCATCATGAACCCTCTCTTTTCCAGCAAGCCTTGAACATCCAAGTGAAATAATCTAGTTTGTTAGTTTCTTAGCACCAGCTATGTGCAATATGATCATCCCAGGGGTGTCAGGAGAACCAAGGTCCCTGTGGGGTCAGCATGTCTCCCTGCTGAAGGGAAAGAAGAATCCAGTGAGCCTCTGGGTCATCTTTGTCATCAATGGGAAGACTTTGGAGGTGATTCCAGTTTATCAGGATTGAGGAAAGTGTTTTCGGAGCACACAGGTGAACGAGTCAGTAGCTGAAGCCACCGTGTAATCAGAGCTCCGGTGTAGAAGTTAGTACAGACAGTCCGAGGTGTGTGTTCTTGTTAAATGATGTTGAATTGGTTCTGACTCATAGCGACCATGTATTAGGTTTCTGAGGAACAACTGGTAAGCTTGAACCTCCCACTTTGCAGTTCAAACCGACTTTGCAGTTCAGCACATAAACACACAGCACCATACCAGGACTCCAGAACAAGTGTACATAGTTCATAAAGGCTAAAGTCTTTTCAATGATTTAAAAGCTGCACCTGCAATGGAAAGTGATTGTGATGGAGAATTTGTTGCCAGCAGGGTTTCGTTTCAAAGTGAGGGCAAATTTACATAACATTAAAAGAACAAGTAGGAGTTATTTGTAAGTCAGAGGTTCTCAAAACCCAGGGACTGTCTGCATACTAGTTTTTTTTATTGCTGTTGTAACAAATTACCACAAATTTAGTAGTTTAAACATTTATTATCTACAGTTCTGGAAGTCAGATGTCTGAAATCGTCCACACTGGGCTACAATTAAGGTGCTGGCAAGATTGTATTTCTTCTGGAAGTTCAAGGGAGAATCCCTTGCCTTGCCTTGGAGTCCTGGTGTGGTGGTGCAAGTTAATGAGCTGGACTGTAAAGTCAGTTTGAACTGTAAGGTGGGTGGTTGAAGCTCACCAGCTGCTCCTCAGAAATCCTATACAGAGTCGCTATGGCTCGGAACTGACTCCACAGCACTTAACAACAACAAAGTAGCCACCTGCATTTCTTGGCACATTTCTGTTGTACATTTCCTTCCGTGTCTAGCCCTCCTGCCTCCTTGTATCAATCAGGGTTGTCCAGAGCAAGAGTCATAGGAGCTGGATGTAACTTTATATGCTTAAACATTTTTATTTGTATATATACAGATAAATAGGTTGCTGTTGTTTGGTGTCGTTAAGTCGATTCCAATCATAGCTACCCCATGTAGTAGAGTAGAACTGCCCGGGGGGGGGGGGGGGGGGGTTTCTAGGCTGTAATCTGTACAGAGCAAATTTCCAAGTCTTTATTCCATGATTGAGCGTGAATCACCAACCTTTTGGTTAGCAGTCTAGGGCTTAACCATTGTGCCACCAGATTTAATTTGAAGAATTAGCTCTTGCAATTGTTGGAGCTGACTAGTCCAAAATGTGTAGTACAGGCCAGCAAGCAGGAAACCCAGTCAGTAGTTGATGCTGCAGTCTTGGGCCAGAACTTCCTCTTCTTTGGGAAACCTTAAGTTTTGCTCTTAAGGCCATCAACTGCGTTAGGAAGGGACCACCACAAACCCTAGGAACTGTGCAGTAAGTGCTCCTGCCAGCGATGAAACCCCAGACCTCAGGCTGAGCAGGCCATTGAGTGGTGCTAGCAGAAGAAACAACAGCCTAGGAAGGTCCTGATGTCAGAACGAGGATGGCATCTCCAAGAAACGAAAGAAAGTCAGCATGGCTGGAGCTTATAGTGTGAAGGAGGAGGAAATGGGGGCAGGAGAGCTGTGGCCCTGCGGAGAAAATATGCAGTGAATACTTTAGAGTCTGATTCTCAGGGTTTGTTAGGACTCTGGTCAGCAACTTCACTCTTCTGGAACCACTCCAAGAAGAATGTTTTTAAAACTTTAACTACTCAAACCAGAAGCAGAAAGGCAGCAGCCAAAGTTTCCTTCCCAACTCTTAGGAAAGTTGGGGTTTTAGTTAGCACATTTCCTGAGTGCGGCAATAAAGACTCTTCTGTCTACTTGAGCAAAACTCAGCTGAACTTGTATTTGTGGTGATTTAAACCATTTCCTGTTTTGTTTTGTTTGTGTGGATGATCTCTGTGCTGCTCAAGATTGGCATCTGTAAACATTTCAGATGTGATTGTAAGATAGAAGAGGAACTGGGCCCATGAAAGAAGCATCCATTCCTTCTTGTTGCCCTTCACTCCTCTCTCCCCTCAGAAATTGCTCCACGTATTAGGAGTAAAGACACATACTGGTTTTGACTTGAGTTAAACAGGCTTCCACAGACTCAAAATGAAGAGAAACAGCTGTAAACATCCATTAATAACTGGAACATGGAATGTACGAAGTATGAATCTAGGAAAATTAGAAATTGTCAAAAATGAAATGGAACACATAAATATCGATAGCTTAGGCATTAGTGAACTGAAATGGACTGGTATTGGCCATTTTGAATCTGACAATCACATGGTTTACTATGCCAGGAATGACAAATTAAAGAGGAATGGTGTTGCATTCATCGCCAAAAAAAAGTACCTATCAAGATCAGTCATGCTATACAAGAAAAGCGAAAGCTGGACAGTAAATAAGGAAGACTGTAGAAGAATTGATGCTTTTGAGTTCTGGTGTTGGAGGAGAATATTGAAAGTGCCATGGGCTGCCAAAAGAACAAACAGATCTGTGTTGGAAGAAGTGCAGCCGGAGTGCTCCAGGATGGCCAGACTTTGTCTCTCATACTTCAGACATATTGTCAGGAGGGACCAGTAGCTGGAGAAGGATATCATGTTTGGTAAGGTAGAGAGTCAGAGAAAAAGAGAAAGACCCCCAGAGAGATGGTTTGGCAAAGTGGCAGCATCAGTGGGCTCAAGCATGGCAACAATTGTGAGGTTGGCCCAGGACCGGGCCGTGTTTCGTTCTGTTGTGCATAGGGTCACTATTAGTCGGTACTAACTTGATGGCACCTAACAATAACAACAACAACAGACATTCATGGAATAGTGTTCCTTTTTGACATTTATAAACTTCAAAGTGAAATCAGAAGGCTGTTCCTTTATAGGAGGACAGTTTGTACTGAGCAGCATTCTGACATTCTCCTTTTAGGTTAAGCAGGGTTTTCCCTGGACTCCTGGTGTGGTGCTGTGGGATCAGCACCGGACTGCGAACCACAAGGTCGGAAGTTCAAACCCACCAGCTGCTCCTCGGAAGCCCTCTACAGGGTCACTGTGAGTTTGAATTGACTCACTAGCACTTAACAGCAACAACCGGGTCTTCCCTGCACACGGTCTGTTGCTTTTCTCTTAAGTTCCTGACTCTTGACAAATGTTTCTTCTCTGAACTTTCCTAGGCTGTTCAGCTTGACCCTGAAGAAGCTTGTCATGCTCAAAGAAATGGACAAGGATCTTAACTCCGTGGTCATTGCTGTGAAGCTGCAGGTGAGTTCAATAGTGTTATCATTCAGAGCCCAGGGGGAGGACTGCCCTTCTCAGGACTCAGAAGCCCTAAAGGTCACCGGTTCTCAGTTGGGGTTTAGATCCAGAAGTGAAAAGCCTTCCTAATACATAGTTGCCAGGAGACCAAGAAAACGACTGGTACCCAATCCAAGAGACATTAGTTTATTACAGAAAAGAAAATTAAACAGATGGTTTATTGACAAGGGAAGTTACTTACAAAGGTTGAAAACAAAACAACTGTTTCCAGTGGTGGCTGGCTGGACAGTGAAGTTCTTCTGTGCGTGGGGTGTGGGCTAGGGGCTCTGGTAGTGTAGTGGTTCCGAATCGGGCTGCGAACCACAAGGTCAGCAGTTCAAAAATACCAGCTGTTCCGCCGTAGAAACATGAGGCTTTCTGCTCCCATAAAGACTTACAGCCTCAGAAACCCTGTACAGGGTCGCCATGAGGCCACAACAACAACATGCAAGCTTCACATTCCTTAGTGCGGTCAGGGTGGCTATGGAACAAGGAAGAGCAAGGAAAAAAGCAAAAAGTGCTGGGCTGCCTGCCCCCTCCCTAGAGAAGAAAGAGTTTTGGTCTGCATAGTGGGAGGAGGGGGCTCTCTGCAGTTTCCCAGCATATGCATAACTAAAGTGTGAGAACAAGGAGTTTCCATATGCATAGTGGGAGGCGGGGCTGTCCGCTCCCTCCTAGATAGCTGGAGTACTGGGTTGTTGTTGTTGTTAAGTGCCGTCGAGTCGGTTCCGACCCATAGCGACCCTGTACAGGGTTTCCGAGGGTGTAAATCTTTACGGGAGTAGAAAGCCTCATCTTTCTCCCGCGGAGCGGCTGGTAGTTTCGAACCGCTGACCTTAAGGTTCGCAGCCCAATTCGTAACCACTACGCTACCAGAGTACTGGGAAGGGATAGGAAATATGGTTTGAGTTGACATTAGCCTGGCCATTTTGGAGCATTAAGTTTGTGTCCCTTCACTCAGTAAAGCAGGCGCGGTAATGGGCAGACGACTAACATCATGAGACCAGAGTCCCTGTCCTGCCTCTTAGTTTAGTTACTTAAGTATCTGCAACCTTAGTGGGTTTGTCTAAACCAGAAATGGTTCTCCCTGCCCCACACTGCCTATCTACTAGGATTCTTGTTGAGTCAAGTGATAGAGATGCTAGTATACTTTGTTAGCTGCACGGGATTTGCTACGGTGGCTGGTGTTGGTTTCCATCCTATTCTCAGAATTTCTAAGTAGGTTGGGGAAGGAGTGGGCACATCCAAATGCCACCCTTTCCCTGCCACCAACTTGGGAGAAGTAACTAATTCCCACTTCCCACTTCCCACTTCTCTGTTCAGTTCTGACACCTGCTGCCCACTTAGTACTACTCCCTCTGATGCAGCCCTGCTGAGGGAGGTTAGAACTCACAAGTTAAAAGGACACTATCCTTCAGGCTGCCAAGTCTACTGAAGGTTGCAGATGCCAGCTGCAAGCTCTGGTATTCAAGGTGCCCCCCTTGCTGTGACTGACCAACTCCAGATTTTCCCATAAGCCCTCAGGATACCAGCTGCAAGCTGGAGGGTGCTATTGGGCTCCCTAACCTCTGACCTGCTGGCTACAATTTCAGGGTTATCTCTAACCCCTTAGTATCCCAGCTGTAAGGTCAAGGGTTCCCAGCCCCCTTCTGACCTCACTGCTTCCACCATCCCTCCATTTCAGTAATTTTCTAGAACTCACAGTTTAATTACAGAAAAAAGGATACAAATGAAGAAGACACATAGGGCCAGGGCCGGAGTTTCTGAGTCCCAGGAAGGGACACACTGCCCTCCCTGTGCATCAATGTCTTTCCCCACCCAGGAGGCCCATGGAGCTTTGATTGGGGTTTCACTATGGAATGCAAACTCTAGCCCCACTTCCATGAGGCTGATCCATACCACAAGACAATCATGAGGTAGAACTCTGACCAGGCCACCATGAGGTCATCATGAGGCGGGTCCCCCTCTGGCCTGAGCAGATCCCCACCTCAGAGTCACCTCTCAGCATAGCCTGTCCTCTCTAGAGTCCTTATCAAGGATGCTTAAATCATTACGAATATTCCAAAGTTTTAGAGATTCTTGTTGTTAAGTGCTGTCGAGTCGGTTCTGACTCATAGCAACCCTGTATAGGGTTTCCTAGGAGTGGCTGGTGAGCTTGAACCATAGACCTTGTGATTCAAACAGACTTTGTAGTTCAGCCTATTAACCCACAGCACCACACTAGGACTTCCTTATTCGTTGTCCAACTTTCACATGCATATATGGCGACTGAAAATAATCATGACTTCGGTCAGGCACACCTTAGTCCTCAAACTGATATTTTTGTTCTTGAACACTTTAAAAAGGTCTTGCGCAACAGATCTGCCTAATGCAGTATGTCGTTTGATTTCTTGACTGGTGCTTCCTTGAGTGTTGATAGTCGGTTCAAGAATGAAGTCCTTGAGAACTTCAATCTTTACTCTGTTGATAAGAATGTTCTTTATTGATCCAGTGGTGAGGATTTTTGTTTTCTTTATATTGAGATGCAATCCATACCAAAGGCTGTGCTCTTTGATCTTCATCAGTAAATATTTTAAGTCCTCTTCACTTTCAGCAAGCAAGGTTGTATCATCTGCATATCCCAGGTTGTTAATGAGTCTTCCTCCAATCCTGATGCCACATTTTTCTTCATAGAACCCAGCTTCTCAGATTATTTGCTCAGCATACAGGTTGACTAAGTATGGTGAAAGAATACAACCCTGTCGCACACCTTTATTAATTTTAAACCATTCAGTGTTCCCATGTTCTATTCGAACAACTGCCTCTTGGTGCATGTACAGATTCCTCATAAGCACAATTAAGTGTTCCAGAATACTCATACTTTGCAATATTGTCCATAGCTTGTCATGATCCACACAATCAAAAGCCTTTGCGTAGTCAGTAAAGCACAGGTAAACATCTTTCTGATATTCTCTGCTTTCAGCCAAGATCCATTGGACATCAGCAATGACATCCCTCATTCCGTAGCCTCTTCTGAATCCGGCTTGAACCTCTGGAAGTTCTCTCAATGTATGCTGGCAGCTGTTTCTGTATCACCTTTAGTAAAACTTTACTTGCATGAGATACCAAAGAGATTGCCCGATGATTGATGATTTCCACATTCCGTTGGGTCACCTCTCTTTGGAATGGGCACAAATACGGATCTCGTCCAATCAGTAGTCCAGATAGTTGTCTTCCAATTTTTTTTTTTACATAGAGTGCCTCCTATGCCACTTCACTTTCTTTAAAGATTTCAATTTTGATTCCATCAATTCCTGGTGCCTTGTTCTTTGCCAATTTCTTCAATGCACCTTGGACTTCCTCCTTCAGTATCATTGGCTTTTGATCATGTGCTACCTCTTGAAACGGCTGGACATCAACCATTTCCTTTTGGTACAGTGACTCTGTGTATTCCTTTCATCTTCTTTTGATGCTTTCTGCATCATTCAATACTTTGCCCAGAAAATCTTTCCGTAACAAAAGTCGAGGCTTGAATTTTTTCTTCAGTTCCCCCCGGCTAGAGAAATGCTGAGTGTGTTCTTACTTTTTGGTTTTCTGACTCCAGATCTTTGCACATTTTGTTGTAATATTTGGCTTTATCTTCTCAAGTTGATCTTTGAAATTTTCTGTCTAGCTCTTGTACTTCCTCATTTCTTCCATTTCCTTTTTTAGCATCTCTACACTGGAGAGCAAATGTCAGTGTCTCTTCTGACATCCATTTTGACCTTTTCCTTCTTTCTTGTCTTCTTAATGACTTTTTGCTTTCTTCCTGTATGCTGTTCTTGATGTCATCCCACAACTCTTCTGGTCTTTGGTCTTTAGTGTTTAATGCATCAAATCTGTTCTTCAG